CTTTTCCACCTAATTGTTAGATAAGAAGGGATTAAAATCCCGTGAAATACATATACATAGATAAGAAATTATATGCCTACCGAAATAGGCAATGTATTGATTGTCAAACAAAGCTGCTCCGTAATGTTTCCTTGGAGAAGGCGCATTAACCGAACTTCCCGTTGTAAAGTTCATGTTGATGGTATCAAAGATAAGCATATCATTGGATAGTTGTCCATCTATCAAACCACCGAATAAATACATTTTTCCGTTATGCATGATTCCTTTTAGGCTGTCTTTTTTAATGTTGAAATTTCCATCAGTTAATTTTGGTACACTCCAAGAATTTGTTTGTGTATTAAACGCGTATACTAAATTCGTATCCATACGTGAAAGCAACGATTTCCCACCATATAAAAGAAAAGTGTTATTGTTTGCGCAACCTATGGAGGATGTAGCAGCGATATGGTTTGGGATAATATCAAAATCTGTTTGGTCAACCCATAACATGGTTTTGGTGTTGAACGGTACGGACATGTCAAAGTAAAAAAATTGTTTGTCTGTGCCAATAAAAGCTTTATTCTTTTCAGTTATATAATTATTTTCATTAAAAGTGAGTCCACCCAAGATATATAATTTATTATCAATATGTGTAGCAGTATGAAGGTATCGCTGCGTTGGCACGAATTCAATCGATCGGCAACTTCCTTCAAATGTTAAGATTAATATTTGAATTAATGAAAGTAAAATTAAAGAATTCTTGGACATGATTACACTTTTATGTAACGAAAGGTAGTTAGTTTTTTCTATCAAAGTTTTATTAAGGAAGTGCGGCCTTCCAATTTTTTTTTGAGTATAAATATAAAAAAATTTTCTTGCAAATATTAAGATTTGAATTAGTGGAATATTGAATTGCATGTGGAAAAACGTAAAGCCGTGCAACCAGATTATATAAATAGATTTCGTTTCAAAACAATTAATATAATGTTTGTTCGGGAAACAAAGGGGGATCAAAAAGGAATAGCATGATGGCAAATCGAAAATCCTAAATTTGACACAAATAAATTTCATTTCAATAAATAACCAATAGAAAGATACTCGGTGATAAAATTTTTGAAAAATAGTGTGATCTCCTTCCGTTTTTGAGAATTTTTTGTTTTTTAAAAACCAATTAAATATATATAGAAGGAAAATGTCATAAGAAATTTCTTCGTATCACCTCAAACTTCCCAAAGCGCCAGTAAGGGACCTTTGTTTGTGGACTATTTCATGTGATAAAGTGGTCAAAGGACTCATATTTCTATATACGAACAGAGTTACATTATGATATCTTCCATTTTCTAGAGCATTCGAAACCCTAATTATTATATCCAATTTTATCTTCATAAAATATAATTGGATTTTTTATTCTTATCCCTTATTATCTTTCATTACTATCATCATCTCAATTTTCTATAAAATCAGCGGATTCTAATAAGTTTTCATTGGTGGTTGTTAAGTTATTAAAAAAAATTAGTTCGATACTTTAACAAAAAATGAAAGTTTCCGCTTCATTATTTGATTCTAAATATTCTAGAGAATCAAATTTGTTATCTCTTTTTATTTTTTTAAAAAAAAAAAAGATTTGCACCGCGTCAATTTTTATATTTCATATAATGATATAGGCATGTCCGCGCTTTTTATTTTAAAATGATTAATTGCGAAAATAAGGCAAAATCAAGCCCTGTTGTATCGAATATAACTCACGAAAAAAAAATTATTCATTAAAAAGTTTGAATAAATTACAATAATCAAATTTTCAAAATAAATAAATAATTAAAATAAAAATTACAAGTTGCACTTCATTATTGATCAAATTGCGCTTTGTCTTTAAAAAATATCATATTTGGCTTGCCTAATAAAAATGCAAAATCATATTTAACTTGCATTAAATATTTTATTTCGTGTTACGAAAAGTTAGCTTGATACATTTTTCAAAGTACTTGATTATCGCAAAAATGTAGTAATAATACAAGAATCTCCTTTGGTAAAACGTACGCCTGTTTGTCAATCACATACTTTTATAGGATTGACGCTTTTAATAAATTACTTTTAAAGAATGTCATTTACATTTTTTTTTTTTTTTTTTTTTTTTTTATATATACAAAGTATAGCCATTGTTAAAAATTTTTCAAGGCTAAATTCTTTATAGTCATTATCTTTAGTCATCATGTTCAAGAATTCTTTAATCTATCTAGTATTGTGGTTTTTAATTCAATTGTTAATTGAAGTGAACTGCCAATCAAATACTTTTAAGCCATAATTTCGATCCCTTCATACTGCTACATACGTTGATGATAAATTATATATTTTAGGCGGTCAACCAGATAATGGAAATCTTGAAAAACCGGGAACCCAATTCTTTTATCTTGATGTGTCCGTTCCATTCGTAAACAATCAAGGATTAAAATGGAACGACATATCAAACATTAACATCATTCCAGGGCATGTTGCCGCTACAACTGCCACAAATGGCATAAATAATACTACATTTTTTCTATATGACGGGTCTTCGTCTGACGGTCAAATGGCTACAGTGTATACATTTGATACACGAAACAATAAATGGAGTGTTGCTCTTGTTAATTATAACATTCACAAAGACAGCCTAAAAGGGATCGTGAATAATGGAAAAATGTATTTATTCAGTGGTTTGATTAATGGTGTACAAACCAACGATATGCTTATCTTTGATACCATAAATTATATTATTTCATTCGGTAATTTGGATAATGCCCCATCTCCGAGGAGACATTACGGCGCAGCTTTGTTGGACGGTCAATTTATTGCCTATTTCGGTAGGCAAAGATTTCTTATCTGTGTATGTATGTAGGATTTTTATCCCATCTTATTTATTATTTAGGTGGCGAAGATTTTATGCAACAATTACTGATGAGCGAGGTGAATTATCAATTGTATAATCTTTTTTAGAAAAGGAATTCTAAATTGACAGTAATAATTAATATTAGATCTACCTCTATGACACAATTAATGATAATTGGACCATTAGAGTAAGTTTAGTAATATATTGGAGTTAAATATCTTGTGATTTAAATAATTATTTATGCAGTTAGCTACGGGAAAAATTCCTATCAATAGGTCAGGTTTCTCCACCGTTCTTGGTAAGTATTTTTTACAAAATTGTATTGTAAGCAATTAATTAATCACGGTATATTTTAAAAGGGTTGGACCGACAACGATTAATAATTTATGGAGGATATACCGGTACAGAAAAAGACACTAACAGTGGGCTCTACGTATTAAATTTAACAAGTTATGATGGTCCATTCCAAATTTTTCTGGAAACCAGCCACTTGTCAGAACTTGGCATCGAGCAAATGTGATTGGAAAATATATGGTGGTAACATTTGGTAATAAAATATATTTTAAATTTTAAAATATGACTATCCGAATCTATTCTAATATATTAATATATTATAAAATAGGACGTTATAATTTTGAAAATTTAGATACGAAGATAAATAATGATGTTTTATTGCTTGATATTAGTGATAATGACGAATATAAGTGGGTAACCTTCTTTGATGCTAAACCTCCTCCTGAAATAAAATCACCGATACCAACACCTACACCGACATCGATACCGTCACAGTCACCATCACCATCATCATTATCTTCATCATCATCTTCGTCATCATCATCGCAACAGTCCAATAACTCGTTGATTGGTGCAATTATAGGATCTATAGGTGCTATTATTTTATTATGTGGTGGTTTCTTTTGATATAGAAGGAATAAATATAAGCGAGCAATACCAACTCCGGGGGAAAGAATCCATAGCATATATTCATAATAAGTCATTCAACTTATGGATTAAGTTTATTCAGTTATTTTGTTCTTATTTTATTAAAGCTATCGTTTGGTACTAGATATCCTGATCTCAAAATTTTTTATTACTATACTGCTGTCCAAATAAATTTGACATTCATGATATTAAAATTTCAATTTTATAACATATCACAACAAGTGAGATTACCTAAATATATGTTGTCCTTCAAATTTAATAAATTTATATCAGTTTATATTATTATATTACTTTATATTAACTTATATTTGTATAATTAATCATTCACTTGTATTTTAAATTATATTTTGGAGAAAAGTGTGAATTTTCCTGTGGAAGGTTACCTTTGGTGATTAGGAATTAGCAACAAGGGATTAGCTCATTTGGTAAAATACGAGTCTCTATTGTTGGTTACTCCGCAAAAGCCATAATATCAAGCCTCAGCCGATAATATAATCTTCATATTATAACGGAATATACAGGCATATATATATTTTTATATAACTAGTTAATCAATCATCAATCAATATTTTATAGAATTATACAATTTTACATCCTTCATCAATTACACAATTTATACAAAACTTTATCAAACAATTATCTGATAAGATAATTCTGAACAACTTAAATCTATGTTCAAAACTCAAATATTTATGCTTATTATATCTATCATAAAGATAAAAAGTGGCGATTAAATCAGAAGGTTGAAATTGGAAATAACTAAATATAGTGAATTAAAGATATGGCTGGCTATAGTCATATACATGGGTGCATTTAAGTGTCCATTCTGTAGACAATTATTGAAAACTAATAAATTTTTCTAATAAGTTTATTTTGATTTCAATAGATAAGTAAACTGTGCTGTAAGATCGATAGAATCTAAATGGTGGCTTAAAAGTATTTGATTGGCAGTTCACTTCAATTAACAATTGAATTAAAAACCACAATACTAAATATATTAAAGAATTCTTGGACATAATTACTAAAGATAATTACTATAAAGAATTAGTCTTAAAAGAAAATTTTTACTATGGCTATACATTATATATATTTAAAAAAAAATGTAAATGACATTCTTTTAAAAGTAATTATTTAACAGGGTATACATGTGCGTCAGATGTCGGTTTGCAGTTAACATGCGTCAGAAGACTAATGCTGGCCAAACCTTCTTAAGGCATTATAAGATATGCCCAAAAATAGGCTCATAATTTAGGCCAGTCGGCATCTGACGCAATTCGTCATCAAGGCACACATATAAAACTGTACGATTTCCCCAGCGTTTATAAATATCTGGAGGACTTAGTTTTTTCACACGGCGTGAATTACTATTTGTCGCATAACTATTTGTCACCGGTAAATCTGGCATTATTACATGTAGATGCATAATGCGGTTCAAAATGTCATGAGTATGCGACATTTTAAACTGTACTTTACGATCAGGCGACCTGTATTGTACGAATGACGAACATATAATTGTATGACAACAAAATATACAGTACATGTATGGTTTTTTCATAACAAATAGTCCATACTTAGTGATGGAACCCCTGAAATTATTAACTATTAATCAGCAAACCACAAAAAAAGGTATTGCCTAGGTTGGTATATCGAGGGTTTATCAAAATATTATATAAAAGAATTCTTTTGCATTAAGTCTGAAAGAAGAAATGGTCTAAAGAAAAATTGATAAAATAGACAATTAACAAAGTTCTTTCGTTTATATTTATAAACAATTTAGAATATAAGCAATAGGATTACATAATTAGAATTTAGGCAAATATTGTCAATAAAATAAATTAAACAACGAGATATATAATAATCTATCATATAAGAATAAAAAAGAGCCATAAAAAATGATAAAATCAAAAAAAGCACAGTATTATATAATATTAGTATAATGATGTTTTCTCAGTGATACGCGCATTAATTTCTTCAAATTAAGGATCATAGATTTCTTAATGAAAAAGTAAATGTAATGCAATATTATATCTTCCTAGCAATGTATCATGGATGTCATTATTATTTTTTTTTAAAAAAAAAAGTACAAATATTTCTTATTATAATATGTAAGAATAAAAGGAGAAATATAAAAGTTTTAAAATTAAATGTTATAAATAGTGTATATTATAAGTTAAATCATGTAAATGAATAATAGTTTGCAATAATACTATAATCTCAACATTCATTGAAAGAACTAACAATAATGATAATAATAATGTGGAGGAATAGATGAATATTATCGGTACTAAAAATTGCAAACACGTTTGACCTATTATTTGCATTGAAATTGATTTCTATTACAATTGGAATTATGTGTTATATTCCAACCAGTCGCCGTAGTATTAGTTGAACATATATCAAAGGTATCTCGAAGAAACTGAAGTTCTTTTATTTGTCCATCTGAGGCAGCTATTATACATTTATCATCTCCGATTGTTGGACAATAAATATGACCAGAATCACAAGATTGTCCGCAAAATGAAGGTTTTGTGTCACATATGTCAACATTAAAATTTTGTAAGGTCTTGCTTATTATTGATGCTGCCATATGGTTATATGTGTTGTTTCTAATATGATAATATATGTCATCGTCACCGTCAAGTAAATCATAATTCTTCACACTTTGATTAATAGTAAAACTAGCTAATATTGACTTGTTTGCAGCAAAAAAATTATTGTGTAATGTATCTTCAAAATGAAATTGGAGATGTTCACTTGCGGCTGACAGATATGATGAAATATCTGTATAGATTTGCCCACTGCCAGTAAATGATTGATGAACATTGTCCATTAAAGTTGGAAGAAAGATATTATTTATCTTGTTAATCGTAAAAAATCCTAAATTATCCCCCTTATTCCTCTTTTGCATTGGGGAATTCGAAGACCTACCCAAAGATGTAAGGTATTGTTGAATATTTGGGTTTGTTGATGTTTGATAGTATGACGCTGTGTCCCTCATTGCAACATTTTCGCACAATTCTATGTTTCTAGAGCAACTAGCTCCAGCTCCATCAACTACTACGTTTCTGAATCTTCCTAAATTGGCTGGATTTTCTATCGCTTCATTTGCCCAACCTTGTGCCGTAGCTCTGGCTGCTGATCCTTCAGCTGTCATTGCGATAGTATCTTCTGCAGCACCAAATTCGGCAGCGACTGTAGCGGATGCCATGGCGTCAGGGATAAGTAAAAAATATGTTACACCAAAATAAAGTGCAGCTATAGCAACGACTACTGCTATACCAATTAAAATCGATTTGAGAATGTTATTTTTATGTTTAGGCGGTGGCGGCGGTGGTGGGATCAATTCTTTTAGATTATCGGGAGTCATTTTTTCACTTAGATCTTTAAGGGCATCATGGTAACCTCGATGGTGTCTCTCCCAATAATTAAATACCTTATTTGCCGAATTAATCATGTGATATGTAGCAACAGGATAATTATCAGGAAGGAATGAGCTGCCTGAACCGAACTGAAGAGATGCAGCGTACGTTCCAACTTCATTACCAGTCAGATAATCGATGCATTCGGCTACATTTTCTGTTTTATTAATTGACAAATTGGGTGTATCTGGGTGTTTACCTTCACTGCAATACTGGGCAGTTAGATCAGTTGGAAATGCATAAGTTGGGTTCGGTGTTCCTTTTCGATATGTAATTTTAGGGATTGGAATAAGTTTCATCGTTTTATCACTTAAATTGCATTTATAGTTGTCTTGATTGTTTTCGGTATACGACGAAACCGTAAGTTTATCCCTGTTTACATTCATCATGAAGCTGAAGTGGCAATCATAGGTACATCCCCACATAGTGATGTTTACAGTTGTTAATGATGAATTATGACTTAGAGTTTTAAATTCCCTGACCAAAAGAGACGTCGAATAAGCAATGCCATCATCGTTAATATGGAACGCCGCAGCATCAGAAGGTACGGCCTGGTCGCACATGTTAAAATCATGTTCTACGGTGATCCAATCAGCAATAACTACCGATGAAAAATTTATAAGAATGTATAATAAACCTTTCTTCATAGTGAAATACTTTTGAAATAATTTTTTTTCCCTTGACGAAAAACCGAAGACCTTATATACGTTTATAACCCTCGAAAAAAATTACAAGATACCAGGGAGACATCCATTTATTTTTTTCATTCAACGTTTAAGAAAATCTCTTCAAAATCCTTTAATTTTACGATTTTCATGTCGAAATTCTTTTTAAGTTTTAATTGTATCTTTTTTTTTTCATTTAAAATTTAAAAAATCAAATTTGACAAGCCAAAATGTTATACTCTAATTTTAAGATGTTTCATTTCGGAATTCTCATTTATTTTATTTTCGAACTTTATAAGTTTAATTGTAACTGCAGTCAGTCGATCTCGAAACAGTCGGTTTTGGCTGGAATTCAGATCATTTTCAGAGAGTCTGAAATTGAGGTTCCAATCCAAAAATTCAGACGACTTAAAAAACTATTTTAACCAATCACAATATGCAAATTTTTTTTTTTTTTTCGATTTTTTTTTTTACTTTCTTTTCTCATTTTTTTTTGAATTTATTTATTTAATTTTTTTAACCTTTTTAATTTCAATTTTATTTTTATTCAGTTTTTTGGCAATAAGTTCATGTTATTATTTTCTTTTAGTTTTATTTTATTTTCTATTTTATTTTCTTAGCTCATTTTCTAAAATCGAATTAAGTTAAAATTGGCAATTATTTTCCTTATTTTATTACTAAAATTAAGCCACTTAATATCGCTGATAATGAAGTTTCCAATCGCTTAATTTTTCCAAAAATTGGTTTATTTAGCAATTTTATATCATTTTTAATGGATGTAATAGACTTTTTATTTTGAAAAATATTTGAATAATTTAAAGCTATTTGTTTGCTAATATTAGTGCAATTAAAAGTAATGTAAGGTCGCAGTAAATCTCAAGTGTTGAAACCAATAATTTTACCGGGATTAAGCAATCTACACCTAAAAAACCAAGTATAACGAAAATTAAATGAGAGCTTTGATTTTTTTAATAATGCCGTTAAAAACAAGTGACTCCTACCTAAAATCAAGTATAACGAAAATTAAGATTGTATCGATTTTTTTTAAACACCATAAATGCACACCTAAAAAAAGTGAAAAAATCTTAAAAATCTAAGTATTGCAGAAATTAATGAAATCTTTGAAACTTAAAAAGTAATCAATACTTACCTAAACAAATCAAATATATACAATTAAATTAAAATCGTTAAGTTGAATGATCAGCAGCTTACTGTGATACAAATTCTTTTAGATTGTCGTGAAGAAGAAATCATTTCGTATATATTCACGATTTGTAGTGTCATGTTGTTGTGAAGAGCATCCCGCCTTACAATAATGGATAAATGGAATATTTGGTGACTTGGATACAATAGAAATTGAATGAATTCGATCCCAGGAATTATTGTATATGTGTTGAAGACGATAAATAGGACAGCCTAATAAATTATCACATTTTTTAAGATCCTCCAACCTGTCTAAATAAATAAAAACATAAACTTGATTGTCATTCCATGTATATTCTATTATCCCTTTGAGAATTCCAAATGCAGATTGTCCATCAGTCGCTAATGTTATTTCAACTGCTTCATCAACGCATAATTTTACATTTTGATAATTCCCACTAACATTTTAATAATAATTAACCTTTGTTTTTAATTAAGCCTGACCCAG